TTTAAAATTTAGCCTAAAACTTCTCTACTCTATAACTTTATAATATAAGTAGCTATAAATAAGCTAAGTAAAGTATTAAATTTATATAATTATTTTATATAAAATAGCTTACTTAGATTTTATTTAGACTTTTAGATAGTAAAGTTTAAAAGTCTTAGAGCTACTATCTTAAATTTATTTTTTTATCTCTTATTAGCTTTATTACTCTTACTAAAAATTACTTAGATCTAGTAGATCTAAGATATTTTCTAGAGTAGATAGTTATATAATCTATAAGAACTTTATATTTTCTATAGCTTAATATAATATATAATAGTAGATAATTATTAGTATTATTATCTAAAAAATATATTATAATAGAAAAAAGTTAATCTATAGTATAAAAATAATAAAATTTAAATAGTAATATCTATAAAAATACTAAATAAGAATAATTTTAGATTCTACTATTCTAGGTTAGTAAGCTCTAATACTTAGCTTAGTTTAGTGTAAGAATATATATTCTTATTACTTTATATTAGTTAGATTACTAATATTATACTTTAATATTACTATATATATACTAGAATTTATATAATAATAGTTTATTATTTTCTATTTTAATAAAGTTAGATTATCTTAGAATAATCTTTATAAGCTAGTAGCTCTAAGTATATTTTCTAAAGTAGTATTAAGTATACTTCTAGAGTTAGCTTAAGCTATAAAGCTAGTACTAGAATATTTAAGTATATAGACTAAATTTTATAAAATTTAATTATAAAAGTTCTAGATCTAATAAAGTTAGTAGATCTAAGATATTCTCTAGAGTAAGTAGTAAAGTTTATTATTAGACTTCTAGAGTACGCTATAGTACTACCTAGTGTAACTACACTACTAGCTATATAGTAGAACTAAATACTAAGATATTTCTTCTACTAAGCTCTAAATATAAGTACTTATACTAAGTCTATACTATAAGTATAAGTATAATACTACTCTAGATATTTCTATATTTTATAATATTATATATATATTCTTAATTATAAAACTATACTATAAGATATAAGTATAATACTTACTTTAGTCTAGTAAAGTTATAACTATATTCTTAATAGTACTACTTAAGAAATAAGATAGTATATAAGATAAGCTATTATACTTAAGCTAAGTGCTATATAAAGAGTAGGTAATAATATAATAAAGTAGCTTTACCTAATCTTACTTAGAATATATTATTCTATCTCTAGCTTAAAGTTATACTTAAAGTTAAGATATCTTTAAGTTTCTAAACTCTCTTACTTCTAATATAGTACTATTCTAGCTTAAGAAATTTATTATACGTAGTAACTTACCTCTAATACCTAACGTACGCTATAGAACTAATACTTCTATACTAAAGCTTAAGTACACAAGTCTTACAGAATACTATTATATCTTAACTATAGATAGTAAGAAAACACTCTTATATAAGATAAAACAGTAGTCTATTCTTAGGGTATAGAGAAGTAAAATATAAGTTACATTACTAATAAATTCTAACTAAGAAGTCGCGCTCATCAATTACCACATGTTCTTCTTAACTATTAACTTTCCTCTCCGCAAGAGGCATCGTATTAAGATTAGCACGTCGAAGCAGAAGGTTGCTGTAGGCGGTGGACTAGGTGAGCTGTATTGGAAAGGCACGGGTATGGAGGTTGGGGGCGCGGCGTCGTGGGAGTTGAGGGACGAGACGAGTCTTGTTATGGTTGCGCAGGTAGATCACGCACAGGCGAACGGATGGGTTATGCTTTGGAAAGAAGGATTGGATGCGCAGACGGTGGAGGAGCTTGTTGTTGTGGGCGTTGCGCAGATTGAGGGGTATAAGAGGATGATCAGGCAGAGCAAGACGTCGGCGGTTGGTGTTTTGGTGAACAAGTAGGCGGGTGGCTTGCCGTTGTTCGAGCGGAAGCATATGTCGTACTGTGTTGCTGCGTTGACGAGACGAAAGAGGGCGGCGACGGAGAAGCTGGACCTGAGGAAACGTGCGACTCTATTTACTATATACATGTGCATCATCTCCACTGTTACCGCAGCGGCAGGGACTTGTCCTCCGCGACCTCGCCTGCGTCCTTTACGGGCACCGCCTCCGGGCTCGCAGCGGGCGTCAACCACGCTGCAGGCGCATCACTTTGCGCTGCCTTCTTCGCGTCCTTCACCCTCTTGTTGACGAACCCCGGGTCAGGGCTCGCCCATTCGTAGCCAAAGCCATCACCAAGCACCTCCTGTACACCCTCGGCGAGGATCTGCACTGCCTTCCTGCGGTTCCTGCTCCACTCCCACGCGCGGTACCAGCGGCCAGCTTGAACCGCAGTCTCCTTGCCGCCCTCCAATCCATCGAGAATGGATCGCCAAACGAGCATTGTCTTCTCCAACTCGGGTGCACGCGAGACACCGATGACGCTAACACCCAGCTTGGAACCACCGACGTCGTCAATGGACTCGTGTGTCCAGGGCACGCCTGATGCGGGGTCTCCACGGGATCCACACAACGCGCCAGCAGATATCCATGTCTCGAGCGCGAAGCGGATGGCCATGACCTCAATGCGCTCGCCGTAGTCGTCGCAGAAGTGGCTCGCTTTGCGCACTGCCGCGCGAAGAGAGGATGGGGCGGGGTGCCAGTCACCGAGGCCACCAACGGGAATGCCGTCGTGTCGAAGGAGGCCCATACCAAGGATGGACGCGTTCGGGACGACGTCGACGCCTGCATTCTTCAGGCGCAAGATGCCACGCGGGCCGGCGAGCGCTTGGTTCTGGAGCGTGAAGTTGGCGTAGGACTGCACCGCATCGAGTGGCTCGCCGGTCTCGCGGAGGATGAGCTCAGCCATGTCGCCCAGCACATCCAGTGGGTATCCACAGATGCCAATATACCGAATTGTGCCCTCTTCGTCCCTAAGGCGGCGGAGTTCCCTGACTGCTTCCAAAACCTCCACCGGGCTCACGAATTCGACGTCGTGGCAGTATACCATGTCCAAGTATTCGCTGTGTAGTCTCTCCAGACTCCTGTTGACGCTTTGGCGCACCCACTCCTTACTGTAGTCGAACTCTTCGCTGCCTGTCCGCCCGACCTTGGTCAGGATCATGTATGAGTTGCGCGGGAATGTCTCCCGGACGAATGGTGTCGCGAGCGCATCGCCGAGCAGTTGTTCGGAGGGGCCGTAGTAGGGCGACGTGTCGAAGGCGCGAATACCGTGTGTGAGCGCCGAGGTCACGAGACCAGTTGTGTCGAGCGCGAAGGGATCGGTGTTGTATTGGGAGTTGAACGTGGCTGTACCGAAGACGAGGGGAGGGAGAATGGACGACAGCGGGGTGCGCCGACCATTGGCGAAAGAGTATGGAATAGGCTTCTGGCGCGTGGGCAGACTGCTGACGGTTGAGGGGTGTTCGATGGGCGTTGTCGCCATGGTCGCGACTGTGCGGGCTGCTGCGCAGGCTATTGGCGGGTCGAGTACCGTCGCGTCGCTGCTGCGATGTCTATAGCGGGGTGTGTGCTTCGCGGGAGGATGCAAGCGATGCGCGCAAAGCAGGATAAGGAGTCGCGGTAGGGCTCTCGTATGTAGTCTTTCGAGTCGTAAAGCTGAGTATGCAGAACGTGGGAGAAGAGAAACAGTCGGCAGCCCGCGGTTTAGGCTCGCGCATGCCACGCTCCGAAAGCGTGAAATCTATGCCTCACCATCCACCGTTTCGGTTGTGGTAAGGCGCCGCACCGCGATGGCAGGAACAGATGGACTAACGGTCGACCCGCATGACGCCATCTGCGTCTGGAACGCGTTTCCTGGCGCTGGGGCGACGGTAATTGGTTGAGATGGAAAAGTCGAAAGGATGATTCATGGATGTTGTGTGATCAAAGAAGGGTCCACCGCTCAAAAAAGACCCTGCCTCGGCCGCCAATCGTGATTAGTGCCGAAGTATCGGGCGCGCATCTCAACATGCGAACGCCAGCACACTACTCCCGCCGGGCTTGGAGAGCTGACATGTCCGCTAGGTGGCTGCCTGGGCCGTTGCAGCGCCGTCATAAGTTTTGATGCGTGCTGACTGCGATAATGATACGGAGACGCTAGCGCAAGACATTCCGCAGCTAATCGGGCCGCCATACCTCCACAGAATGGTGCAAGCATGCGGCAGGGATGAACATCGCGGACTTCCTTTCCTGTCTTCGTTGTCTGCTTCTTGAATTCGGCCTTGTTTCGCGATGATCGGGTCGCGATTACTTTGATTCGCGTTTGGGCTCGGTGTATGACGCCGTCGCTTTGCCGGTGGCTGCTCTGGCTGTCTGAGCTGCCAGGTCTCGAGTGTCGTCTACCGACACAACAGACTCGGCCTCATCGTGTGTCTGATCATGGTCTAGGTGTTGCGCATCTCTACACTGTCCCGACGCGCCTTTGCTGCAGTACGAGCAGAACGCTGCATACCTCCTCATGCACGAGCTGAACGTGTCCCGCTATCCCCTTCGAACCTGATTACGTAGGCAGGGCAGTGGCCGTCGCAAGGCAATGGCCATCCTCGCACCCTCATCATCCCCACCATCGCGTTCTCTCTTCAACCCAACAGCGCGACAATGCGACAGCGAATGGCCGCCCAGCGAGCGTCATCGTTGCCTGGAGAGGCGCGCAGATCCTCGACGTCGCTGAACGGTACGTGGACGAGGAGCTGAATGATTGAGTTGCACGCAGCTTCCCAATGTAGCCTGCTGCTGCTCCCAACAGTCACACTCCTCCTATGAGACACCGAGCTCGCGTCGGGAGTATATTACTCGGGCTTTCCGTCTCTCCATACATCATACCTCGTTTCGGCCCCCCGCCACCAGCGCATGCATCGTGAGGCTGAACCATGCTTACCCGAGGCCGCCTTGGTGCTGCCGGCTTTGAAGACGAGGATGCCTTTTACTATAACTCAGGTGCTTGCCTGCATCGACTCGCAGCATGCACACCCAGCTTCGTTCCTAGCCTCGTGGCGTTCACAATACCCATTCCCGTTGCCGCACCATGGCGACCAGAATTGTGCAACCAAGCACATCCACTGATCTCGGTCGACTATGGAGAGGCGCTATACGAGACTACAAAGAACGTACCGGTGAGGATCTTTCGACGATGGCAGTGGGAAACGTCACCGACGTGATGCGACAAACAACTGTGGTCATGAACGAGTTCAAAGGGTTTCGCGATGACGGAACCAAGAAGGCAAACTTTCGATCGGCGATGGGGGATCATCTTGGTAACCTCCAGACTTGCATTGACGGCTTTGCTACAGTCGGGGCCTGTGTCAGTGCTTTTCCTCCAGCGATGCCTGTGGGACTCGTGTTCACTGCCGCCAGCCGTATAATTTCCGTGAGTAGTCAGAATCGTTCTATGATACCGTATTGAAGTGAGATAGGCATTTGCAGGCGTCCGAGCAGACTACGATCGTGTCGAGGAGTTCTTCGCATACTCAGCCCGTTTCTTCCAACGACTGTCTATCCTCGAGGATAAAGCACAGTCCGGTCCGCTTGCTATTGCTGTTGAGAGGGTCTTCTCCATGCAGCTCTCGGTATGCGGCAGAGCACGACAGCTGATAAAGGAGAAACGATTCAGTAAGACAACGGCTTTGATGTTGAGGAGGTGCTAATATTTGGCAGAGCATTGGCTCAAAACCTTGTGGAACGAGGTAGATGAAGACCTGATAGCGGCATATGCTGGAATGCAGGCCTCGATACAGGAACTCAACGAAACGATTACTTACGAAACCTACGGCGCTCTCGTATCCGTTCAAACTGGAGTGGTTGCTAACAGTTCTAAATTGGACGAGCTTGATGAGAAGCTACAATCCTACCGTTCGAGCCTGGACAAAGGTATCCAGGAAGTCTACGCAAGCACGATCAGTCTACATCTTATCATCGTCGAGGGGATCGTTACTCTACGAAATGAGGGGTTAGCACAGCGTGCTCTGCTTCTGCAGATCATCAAAAACCAGGATAAGACGGCCAGAGCGCCGGAGATTGAGATTGAGGAAAAAAAGAAGCTTGCTCAAAAGCCGAAGGGTGACATCGGAGATCGGAAGTTCCAGGCATTACGAGAACTCAAGAAGTTCTTCGCCGACAATCACGATGTCTTCCCTTCGTGGCAGGATGCTCACCAAGGGAACTTGCTCCAAGACGAAGATTTGCGTGATTCCAAGGTGAGCAAAACGGCCGGATGGCTCCGTGAGCATGCGAGCTTCAAGAGTTGGTTACGTGGAGAAGTTCCTCTCCTTTGGCTACGAGGCGCTGAGGGGATTGGAAAGTCATTCCTAGCGTACTCGGCCGTCCAAGAGCTGCGTCTACATCAGAACGATCACGACTGCTTGGCCTACTTCTATTTCAAGGAGGAGCATCCATACCAACAGTCAATGCAAAACGCGTTCGCGTCGGCTGCCTTACAAATCGCCGGATCAAACAACAGATACGCCGGACAAGTAGCGGCCAAGATCAAGCTAGACTCCAGTGAGTCTGCAGCAATGTCCACGTGGGAACGCTTCTTCCTCTCGGTGTTTCCAAGTGACAACAAACCTGGAGGCCGCCTTTTCCTTGTTTTCGATGGCCTGGACGAGGCGCATGTACAAGAGGGCGGGACCTTTACACGGTTTCTGTCGGATCTCAAGCGCCTGAACGCCAGTGTGTCAGTCTTTGCGACGAGCAGACCAGAAGAGAAGCCCACACTCCAGCTGCTCCAGCCTTCCATCATTGAGATCACAAAGCATGATATCAAACATGACTTGAAGATGCTGGTTAAGGACCGTCTGCGCACACTCCCGCGCCTGCGCAAGTTCACGCAATCTACCAAAACAGCAATCCGTCGCGAAGTAGTCAAGCACGCAGACAGTATGCTCTATGTCGAGCATATGCTCAGAAGATTCTCTTACATAGGTCGAGAAAGAGCAGTCTTGCAAGCATTGGGGGGGATGCCGCCAAATCTGCATGGTCTTTACGAACTTCTCCTGGACGAATGCCGACAGAATCGTTCCGAAGCGCAGTACCAAGCGATGAAGAAATTGTTCGCGTGGCTGGCGTTCTCGAAACGATCGCTTAGCCTCGGTGAGGCATCGAGCTTGGTTCAACTCGCACTGTCCGACGACAGCTTCGACATTGAAGAGGAGATCATCGGACGTTCCTCTCGCATCCTCGAACTTACCCAATCACGGCAGCTTGAGGAAGACGCCAAAGATGAAGACAAAGACGATGACGAGAACGATGAAACAAAGGAGGAGGGCATCCCGGAGCTCGGATACGGAGACTCTCCTCTCTGCTTTCAGGATCGGTCACTACGGCAATACTTCAAGAGCGTAAGCGTCGAAGATGACGGCGTAACAGAGTTTCGGACACCTGCTACCGCTGCGCACCTAACAATCCTCCAGATGTGCGTGGATGTGATGATGAAAGCGGCTCAAGAACCTATCGAAGCGCAAAGCTCCGGGCTTACGGTATACGCAATCTGCTATTGGTACGAGCATCTCAAGGAGCTGGACGTGGAGAACGCGAGCCCCGAAGCTGTTCGCGATGTTGTGACACTCCTGCACTGCATCACGGTCAATTCATACAACATCGCCAGGTTGTTCGAAAAGCTCGCGCGACATACAGACCTATATCCCGAGCGCGCTGACGAAGTTCCTATCGCTTGGTTCGATACTCTTCTGAGTTGGACAGCCAGGGCATCAACACTACCGGAGCAATCTTTGGACGACAAAGTCAAGGAATGGACGACCCTAGTCGGTAAAGACAACGTTCTACTTCCGCTTGCTCGCGGTCATGTCCACAATTGGTTAGACGCCAGCGACGACTGGTGGATACCCGAGAGGTTTAGATTTGTCAAGGCATCGTTGTTTCTCGTAAGTCACCCTTCTTACTCAACGGCCTCTCTAATGGTCTGTAGTTGTCCCCTTCCGAAGTTGACGAATTCAATGATCTTGGGCCACTTGATTACATGAAGGCCATTATCAAGAGATATATGGTTCCACTTGAAGACTACAAGACACAACGAGCGATTGGATGCACTGTGGCTGACTACGCCAACGCAATGTGGTATGACGACGATGGCAGAGCAGCGTTGACTAAGGAAGCCAGCGTGTACCTGAAGAGAGCAGTGGACTGTATGCGGGGAGACGTTCTGGACAACGTCGCTACCGTCCGTCTACTTGCGTCGGTCTGTGATCGATGCGACCAGTCATCCGACGCGGTAAAGTACTACGAACAGGCCTATAACATGTTACCTGATCACGAGGCCGAGGGATCTTCCGAACGAGAGCTGGATGAAATCAAATCAATACGTGTAGAGATCCTAACCGACAAAGCTTCCGCCCTTTCCACGCTGGAGCAGACGGACGAAGCTTTGCAAGCATTCAACGAAGCAAGAAGATTGCAAGGCGAGCAAGCACTAGCCGGAACGGTTCTGGACGACATCACACTACTGTTCAAGAAGGAAGACGAGACTGATGGACGCAGGCTTATGGAAGTACTCAAAGGCTGGACCGAAAAAGAGCGCAACAATTGGTTCACCTACCTCTTCGTGGACTGGGTGCCTACCAATGGGGTAGCTCGATTGCAAAGAGCAGCAAAGTTGACTGGCGAGACCGATCTACTCATCGGCTGGCTAACAGCCTTGGCCGACACGCTTCCGGCGCAAAGCCTCCATTTGTTCAATATCCGGGGCGCAATCGCACACATCTATTATCCCATGCTGGGCGACATCGAGAAAGGCAAGACGCTACGTCAAGAGCTCTTGACCACGAAGACTAAGCCCGATCCTGCATACGAAGACACTATGAACGAGACCAGGACGCGTCATCGGATGCAGTTGGCAGACATTCTGTTTTATGAGTTCCAAACGACCGCAGACCCAGCGAAGAAGGAAGAGATCATGGAATCCCTGCGACTGTTGCCTAGCGCGCACGATGACGAAGGTGACGACAAGAACATTAAAGAATCCCATGTCGATATGCTTCGCGCAAACATGCTTCGCATCATGGGTCCTGCGAAGGAGTATCAGAGATACATGGACGAGTTGTTTAAGAAGTGCATTGCCGGTCTCGAAGATACTGTCTCTTGGAACGACTTGTCAAGCCTGCGACTGTTGTCGAAGGTGCTGGCGTCTCTAGATAGCCTAGAGCATGATGCACGAATCGCGATAAGTGCCCAGTTCTCAGTCCTGGACCGCGCAATACATGGGCAAGATACGGAGTCGGAGCATTCGGAGACTACTTCCGACAAAGACGTCGGCGAAACAGATGCGGGACCAGATGCGGAACCAGAACCAGTTGCAGAACCAGATGCCGGACAAGACACTGCAAGGGAGGATGACCCACTAGCTACAAGCGAAGTCGTTCGGAAAGATTCTCCGACAGATGAGATACATGACAACGAAGTCAAGGACGTAATGGAGGAGCCAATTGAGGGAGAGCGGAGTCATCCAGAGCCAGAGGGATCAGAGACGGGCGAATCGAACGCTGGCGAGCTGGACGAAGACCTTATCGGCGGCGGTATTTACTGCGACGGACAGTGTGGGGTGGACATCTATTCCTGGACCCGGTCGATCTACTACTGTCTGGTCTGCCCTAGCTGTGATCTGTGCGAAGATTGTCACGCCAAGCGTCTCAAGCAAACAAAAGGCGAGCTCGAAGAGCCGTGGCTCAACTTTTGCGGTGCGAACCACCGGTACATCAAAGGGGCGATGACAGGATGGAAGGGCGTCAAGAATGGCGTTATCCGCTATGCGGACACGGAGATCACCGTGACGGAATGGCTTCGGGGGCTCAAGGAAGAACGGTAGCCGAATGCTTGGAAGATCTTTTGGACGAGGCGGGGAGGTTTGAAGGATATCGGGGTTGAAGATTAAGGTAGATGTATGACCGAGATCGATGTCGCACTCTGTGATAGAATCGCACTTCTAACGTAGAAGGCATGTAATCTTTTTTTGTTACTAGCATACATATCTTATGCATTTAATACCTTTGTTTAATACTTAGTTTTACCTAATGCGGCCTCTTTGCATACGTCTTTCTAAAGTTTAGAGTGTCTATATTTATTCTATTCTAGCTACTAACGTACTTTATGTTCTCTAGGTTATAATAACTATCTAGCTACTTCGCACAACTAATATATAAGGCCTTAGTAAAGTAGTAATATTATCTATACTAGGTATACTATATACATTTGTTATACTTAGAATACCTAATTCTATAAGTATTAAGGCTTATATAGACTATAGAGTTATTTAAGAGCTAAAATTCTATGTTAAAGGCTATATTCTAATTCTTACACTATAGATAATTATCTTATAAGATAAAGAGTAGAGCGTAGTATAATAGGTTATAATAATATATAGAAAGGTTACTCTTTACTTTCTATTTATTCTTCTATAACTAGAGCTCTTTATAGAAAGCTAGGTCTATTTTATATAAGCTAATAATAGACTTACACTAGTAGTCTTTACTAAAGAGAATATTTTTAAGTCTATAGAGGCTAAATATAGGCTATAAACTACTAATATTAATTCTAGCTTTATTATATAGCGCCTACTCTAGTATACTATTACTATAATAATTAGCTCTAATATCTTCTTTATATTCTATAGTAAGATAAAAACTCTTAAGACTAAAAGCGTTATAATAGTAATTAATAAGTTAATACGTAGTAGCTTAGAAAAGTATAAAGCTAGCGCCTCTATACGTAAACTATACTTATTTCTTTATGTTAGGCTGTATATTAGAATAGTATATTTATTTAGGTAAAGGTAATCTAAAATAGTAAGATAGTAAGCTATTATAGTTCTCTAAAAGATAGAAGATATTATTCTAGAAGATGTACGTATTATTCTCTAGAAAGATGTACTACTTAGCTACCTTATTATAATTAATTACTTTTTACACTTCTAGTAGAAATTTATACTTATTAAGCCTCTACTCTTTATAATTCTACTATAGCTTTATACTCTATTAACTTATATTATTCTTTATCTTATAAATAATATAATTCTCTTTCTTTAGGTACGTATTTAGTAGTAAGTCTATAAGAATATTAATAGTTTAATAGTTATAACTATAGGTATAATTACTATCTAAGATAATTAAGATATTAGAGATATATTTTATTACTATTAAGAGCTAAGTATCTATTTATAATTTATTATCTACTAATCTAGTCTTTAGAATAACCTAAACCTTAGAGAGTAGATATACTAGAAAGAGAGCGTATTTATCTATAGAGCTATTCTACTATTTAGTATATCTTATCTATTTAAACTATATTATAGTATTCTAGGTCTAGAAGTTTAGCCTATTATTACTTTATAAGTTAGCTCTATATAGTAGTAGTGTAAATAGCTTAGAGTAGAAGGCTTATTTCTCTAGAATATTACTTAGTAGAGATTTAATATAAGCCTAGTTAAAGAGAATAAGAAAATTAACTCTAATAGCTATACTAATATATATAAATAGTAGCTAAAAAGTACGCCTAGTAGTAAAAGACCTAACACTAGGTAATAAGCAGCGTAAGTCTATAAGTATACTAGATATTATATATAGGCGTTGTATTATAACACTTTATATTATATTAAGTTTATTAAAAGTAAAGATACACTAGAAGTCTAGTACTAGATATATAAATATTAAAAGATTATACTACGTATAAGTATATATACTTATTATACTACTACTCTAGAAGATTTAATAGTAATACTATAATATCTTAGATACTCTTCTTAGAGTAGTTATCTTATCTAATACTTTTTCTAGTAGAATTGCGCTATAAGATAAAGTACTATAAGATAGAGTAGTATTAGTTAGTAAGGTTTACCTATTATAATAATAATAATACTTATTTTATAAATTAGACACTTTATAAAAAACCTTACTTATAAGTTCTTATAGCTTCTAAAAACTTTTTAGCTAATTATAGAGCTAGTATATAAACTAAACTTTTTAGCTAATAAGAGCTAATTATATAATACTTATAGTAAAGCTTTTATAAAGTGTCTAAGAAAAAATAGTAGAACTTTTAGTAAATAGGTATTTTAAATTATACCTTTAGTAAAGTTTACCTATTAGTACTATAATACTACTATCTTACTTTATTATAGTATTAGATATAATAGAAAGTATAAGTTCTTCTTAATACTATTATATTTATTAGGTCTAATTTACGCGTAGTATTAATAGAAAAGTATAGTATTATAAAAGATAATATTTTAGCTCTTTAGCGTAATTATATCTTACTAATCTATCTACTATATTTTACTTACTTTATATCTACACTAAAACTTCTATAAAGCTTTATAAAGTTCTATAAAGCTTTATAACTCTCTATAAACTTTTATACTAGTTATAGTTATATTTACTATATATATTATATTATAGTATTATAGTATTACGTATAGTAGTACTATAGTGCTCTAATAGAGACGTTATAGTATTATAGAACACTATAGACTTTTATAAACTACTAGACTAATAGCTAGCTACTAAGGCTTATAGTAGGTAGATTAGCTACTAGCTATATAGTAGTAACTTTCTTAAACTTCTATAAACTTCTATAAAGTTTTTTAAACTACTAGAAACTTCTATAAACTTCTATAAAGTTTTTTAAACTACTAGTAACTTTTTATAGCTAGTTATTTTTATAAAGTAGCTATAGTAAAGTATAAGATAAGGTAAAAAGTAGATAAATATAGTAGATAGCACTAGAGTTACGCTATTACTACGCCTAAGCGTATAGTAATTAGATAAGCTACGCTTCTAATTAATTAACGTATTACTATAATTTTAGATATAGAATTAGAGAAACTTTCTTTACTAGTAGAGAATATAAGATAGAAATAATATATAGTATTATAAGAGTAAGTTATTTAGTGTTATCTAAGACGTATACTATCTTATAGTTATAGTAGTAAAATACTTAAACTATATAATAAGTAGATATATATCTTTTAGCGTCTTATCTATATAAAAGATAATATATTATTAATTACTATAACTAGCTTTAGTAAGAGCCTTATCTTCTACGCATATTTAGTGTTAACTAGAAAGATTATACTATAGTTAATACTACTCTCTAAGCTAGAGAATAAGTAGCTTAGTAATATATATTATTTTAATAGCGTAAAACCTTACTTAGTTAATATAAGAACTTATACTTAGTTTTATAAGCTTATTAATAAGATTATTTATAGTAAGTATACTTATATATTAATAGAGTCTAAGTAGATATCTAGTTATATCTTCTAGACTACGTTAAGAGACATAACCTTCTAGTTATAGATTAGAATTATTATAATTAATAAGTACTATCTTATTATCTAGTAGAAAGTATTCTATTCTACTTTTATATAGCTAGGTAAACTCTATAGTATTCTTATATAGAATATTAATTAGTTTAGTTATTTAGCTATATTAGATCTTAACTCTACTAAGTAGGTATTAGACACTACTAGTTTCTACTATCTAGAGCGTAATACTTATAAGACTAAGTTAATTTAAATAACTATTAATAGGCCTAACGCGTCTATAACTATTATAGAGATACTACCTAGTAAGTCTATATTATAGAATTTTTTTTTTTTCTTACTACTACTATCTATAACTAGAAAAACTACTATACCTATAATATAGTCTAAGATAATTATCTTTATTAATAGAAAGATCTAACTCTAGAATACTATAGAATAAGCTATAATAATACTTATATATATAATAAAGAACTTTCTAGATAATTAATACTATAGTACTAATCTATTAGCTAGAGATTAGTGTATATTTAATATAGTTAAAACGTATACTATCTATATTATATACTATATCTATAGACTAGTAACTTTATATAGCACTAGAGGCCTACTATTCTAAGTATACTTAGTAACTAAAGTAGTAGATTAAAGAAGCTTCTAATATCTCTATTAGCTCTATAGAGCTTTATAGAGATATACTTACTAACCTAATATATACTTAGATTAGAGTATTTATAGTATAGTAGGTAATAGTACTTTTATATAGAGAGAATTAATAATTTTTTATACTACTAGGTATATATATAGACTAGGTTATATATATCTAGATTAGTAATATATTAATAGATATAAATACTAAAGCTAATAAAGACCTAGCTTTTCTAGATAGTATTAACTAGATACTATCTTTATATATATAGTAGTATTATAATATAAATAGTAAGATAGCACTATTACTATATTAACTATATAATATACTAAATACTTCTTAAGTAAAGTATAGTGCACTTCTAGATAATAGAAGATAGTTAAGAATAATAAGAACTTAGAGTATACTATTAGAATCTTAGTTATCTATATATCTACTTCTACTAAACTAGCGTATAGATAATAATATAGCTACTAGTATTATAAGAATAAATACGTAGGTCTAAGTTAAAGTATTTATTAATAGTCTAAATAGTAGTATTATAGCTCTAGTTCTATAAAACGCTAGTCTTTAGGTTATAGTAAACTATTTAGTACATATCTATTATAAATCTAATTTAATACTTTTACTAATAGTATCTTAAATTTATAAAGACGTAAGTTAGACTATGTCTACTACTAGTCTAGTATCTCTCTTATCTCTTACTAGTATAGCTAGTACTCTAAGTTCTTATATAGTAGTAAGATATTATATATCTAGATTAAGAGGTTAAGATAGCTATAATATAGTACGTACGCTATAACTAGTGTTATGTAAGAGATAGACTACTAGTCTAAATAGAGTAGTAGAGATAGTAATAGTAACTTCTAGTTACGCTATTAAGATATTAGTAATATTATAA